TTTATAACATTCTGCTATAAGTAAACGATTTGTGTAAGAACAATCAACTCTACAGTGATTCTCGATTTAAAAGTAAAATACTAAACTTTTTTGTTTTTCTGTATAAATTATCCTCATATTTTTATCGTAATTTATATTTTCATTTATTTTCGTACTTATAAAACACATTTTATTTCAATATGAGTTTAAACATGGCATAAAAAATGTACTGTATATATTTTAAAGGGCATACGTTTCGTGGGAAATAATGATTTTTATTTCTTTAGCGGATCGCGAAAAGAAAAGTGTATAAAAGAATAAATGTGTCTAGTGTAAGTCTATGTTATAATGCTTAAACGAACAAAATATTGTTGCAGAATGGTATATTGTTCAATTTTGGGTTGTTTGACTGGAAAAAATATCGCGCATTATATATATTTTTCAATTTTGAAAAGAGGGCGGATTATACATGTATTATAATACTGCAAGGTGAAGGTGGATATCACATTAAGTAAAAAAAAAAAAGACATTGCTAAATATGTCAGGTGCATATAGAAGGTTTAGAGGTGGTACTAGAATCCTCCCAAAACTCAATGGATATTGTGATTCTGTGAAAATTCGATTTCTACGTCTAAGAACATATTTCATAGATACACAATACACAAAAACCAACATGACAAAAGGGGGCTTTAAATTGTATTATTTGTTATTTAAGTTAAAATAAGGGAAACTATGTATGTATCAGTTTTCACCTATCCAATTAATCTCAAGTAACATATTGAGCTTAACTAAATTTTTATTTTTATTTTTATTTTTAACTATTAATACTGAATATTTTATGTTTCGAAAATATGTAACTAATATTTTGGTCGCTAAGAGACCAATGGGCACAAATTAATATTTAAAATTAATAAACTAAACATTATTTATAAAGATTTATATTTAATAGAATTTCGAGAATAATGAAACATGTTTATCACAACATAAATACATTAATTAATATGACTATTTTGTTCATATGTAAAAAAATTAAGATCATGCATTTGAAAACTACCAAAACTTATTGATTGAATAAATCAATTTAAACATAAAAAAATATAAATATAGATAATTCAGTATAATTAAATTTTGATTTTTATCAAATTACTAAGTTTCATTATGCATTTTTATGAATTATTCATAATTGTATAATTGTTCATGTTTGCATAATGGTTTTTACCTAACAAGTTATATTGATTTATTACTATTACAAAATAAGTATATTAAAATTCGTAAAAATGAATTTTTGAATCTAAAACCTAATTTATTATTTTTTTTTTTTTCAGTGAACTGTAAATACTTATTATTATAGTATTTTTATCTAGTGTTATATAATTATTGCTAAGGTTACTAATTATTTGTAATTTGACAAACGTAAACGCATTTATTAATTTGTAGACAAAACAATTGGATTTGAAGACTGCGTCAAATATTTTATTCACAAATTTAACCTTTGGCCAACAGATGGTTTTCATTAGAACATTCCCGGGTACTAAACTATTGATCTTGAGATGAATATTTAATTTTCTCTTCCTCCAAACCTTATTATCGTAAACATAAAAAAAAAGTAGTCGTCAGTGAACACAAAAATTATTTACAGACGTTTGATAGAAATATGAAATTACAAAATATAATATGATTCTTAATCAAACATATCATCAAAATATTTTTAAGTTCTTTCCAATATACTCGTATTTTGAATAAGTGTTACCTAAGAAACATAGCGTTCTTTACATTTACATAAGAAACAATATTTTTTTTTTGTTACTAGACCCTACATTTTGTTAAGTTCATTTTCTACCTCCGAACCAAGCCAATAATCGAGATCGGTTAACGACGATATGTTTGAAATACTGAAAAAAATCCAATATTTTATTAGTGCCAAATACATGAATTCTTTTTAACTTTTTATATTAAAATTTTTGAAAATAGCGTTAAATTACAAAACTGGTAATATTAATGGTTCAAATCAAATATAATTTTTCATTTAATCATTATTAAAATTAACCGTTAGTATATAAAGTATTAAAGTTTAAGTATTAAAATAGTTTAACAATAAGTACTATTTATTATGACTACATTTTTAAAAATTATATTTTTATATTGTTTCTCGAAGAAAATTGACTATTCATGTCTAAAATGTCATTATTATGAACTAAAATATTTTTATATAAGAACCAGTATGATTACATCATGCATAGGTGTGTTAAAGTTCGATGTTTGATTTTATTTTCTTAATCTGAGCACCCTATGATAAACATATTATTAATAAGTTTGTAACGTTATTGTCCATTTTTATATAAATATAGTGTGTTGATAAAACTTGAATTCCCAAGATAATAAATAATTTTAATGTTTTCCGAAGAATATAGGTACTTTAATTGTAATTACTAATTATTATATAGTATCATTATTCAATTGAATAGTCTGATATAGATCTACCAATCCACTTGAAAAACATGTGAAGATATTCAAAAAAATAAATTCTACATTAATACTTCACAGAACTGTAAGCATAAAATATTTATATAAATTAGAGCTCTTAATACACGTGAATTCACGGAATTCACGTGTCACGTGTCACGTGTAAAATTCAAAATAAAAACGTATATCCTTAACTTAATACTGTACTAATAATATTTTATTAAAACTTCAAGTGTATAACATAAAATTACTAATTTTTATCATTATAAAAATGGATTTATACTTGGATAAACACGTATTTCACGTGTACACGTGAATTCCGTGACACGTGTTTAAGAGCTTTAATATAAATACAATTTTACACTTCTAAACTAGTAATATACTAATAAATTAAATAAACGAAAATTTAATGTATCATTACAAATTAACACCAATCATATACTTAGTTATGAACATTTATGCAGCTAATGAGATTTATTTTATTTTTAAATGTTGCACGAAAAAAATATACTAATATAATATGAATTTAAATTAAATCGGAACAACTGGTGTTAAAAATTTTAAAATGTAGGTTAGTTTCTAAAATTTAAAAAATATTCGGGTAGTTACTGTAAGTGTGATTTATAGTTTACATACTTTATAGAATTTAGCATTACCAAAAAAACGTTTTAATAAACTATTAAATATTGTTAACTGAACAAGATCATAATTTACTTCTGGAATTTATAGGCGGATACATTTTCTATATTTGAAACTATAAATAAATAATGCATTTGGATTTTAAAGGTAAAAAGTAAGATAAAACATTTTTTTCTTCACTGTAATTTAAAAATTTCCAGATTATTATTCTTATATTTTTTTTTTTTGTATATGAACACCTCACGAGTAATAATGATTATTAATAGAATTGTATTAAATAATTATTTTAGCAGACGAAGTGTGTTTATCATTTTTTTTCATACTTATGTTCTTACAATAGGCCTATGATATTACTACTGGGATTAAAATATTTAGCACAGTGGTTCTCAATCTTTTTAGGACAGCGACCCAAATTTTCTTCCAAAAATCTATCACGACCATAGTTTTACATTTACAGAATCAATAAAAATAATTTCAAAAAACAAATTTTTTCTATTTTATTACTTATTTACTACTTTATAATAATAATAATAATAATAATAATAATAATAATAATAATAATAATAAT